CCAGAACGGACAAACCAAACAAACAAGTTTTGCGACCACCATGGTTTCTTCTACTCGCTTGGAGAGCAGATAATATGGTTGCAGTCTGCAACTTCACGGCTAGATGCCACTAAATCCTACACATTGGTCCTTTTAATTACAGCTAAATCATCACGGTACGGTAAATCATTGTAGCATTTAAAATAATACAACGTCTACCAGTAATGAAGCTCTGATGGTTTCGCTGCAGCATATGTTATCTTGGTCTGTTACAGAACCAGCTCCAGTAGTTTGCCAGTGGTTATTACCTCCCCCTGTAATATTAATCCTACTGAATGTGGCTTTCGTCAGTGATTTTAAGATATCACTTTAGTTTCTGGTACATTGTGATGGTTTAATCCAAAAACTGAAGCAGTTGCTAGTTGAGGCTTTGCTCTGCCTGTAAAAACAGGAAGCTCTCAACAGAAACTATTCCAGGAGAAACACCATCTTCCACTTGTACAACAAATTAAACAACTGAGTGTAAAACACACTATACTAAATTGGAAAACAGCACCCATGCATCACCCATGCTTTGTGTGTGTTTTTGTCTCAGGAAGGCGACCAAAGAAAGCCTAGTGGAAACCAGCAGCAACATCACAGAGAGTCTGATGTCTATCAGCAGGATGATGGCTGAACAGGTGAAGCAGAGCGAGGACAGCATCGGCACACTGGGTAAAAAAAAAAACTCTACTTTGTCCATGTGTACTTTTGTCAGTGTTACAGTGTGTATGTTTTCATCTCCCACCAGCATTTACTTACCCATCTTTTGACTCTCCTCTTCTTCACCGCAGCCACCTCCTCTAGGACTGTGCAGGAAACCAACGAGGAGTTTAGAAACATGACGGGAACCATCCACCTGGGAAGGAAACTGATTCTCAAGTACAACCGGCGGGAGCTGACGGACAAGCTGCTTATCTTCCTGGCTCTGGCCCTCTTCTTTGCCACCGTCCTCTACATTCTGAAGAAACGTCTCTTTCCCTTCATTTAGCTGGTTGGCTGCTAGTTCATGCTGTTCCTTAGAGGTACCCAGGTTTCAGGAAGAATGTTTTCTAGTTAGCCGGTATGGAGAGGATGCATGGACCACAGCAGCAAAGAGACCGGACCTCCGTACATGGAGGCGGTTTCCTCTTGTTAAGCACTCTTGTTTTTAGCTTGAACAATATGCAATATGTCGGTCTATAAAATGGGTATAAAGGTTTTTGTAAAATCAACTTATGGATTTAAACTGGCACTATGGGGTTTCATGCAACAGTACTGATCGGTTTAAAGCCTCAACATGCTTCACACAAACCTGGTCGCCAGCACAAAACTGATTGCGACACATCGGCCACTGATATCAGTGAATACCATCTCATTTGCCGATGTTCAGCCTCTAAGAATTGACTGTATCTCGATGCAGTCCATATAAATTAAGATAAGGATGCACACTCTCAGACAGTCTCTCCTTGAAGACCTTTATGGCGCTGCATGTGCAGCAGTGACAGCAGAGGTTTAAATTCTGTTTCTACTTTCACCTGTCTGCACCCCTGAGCAGATGCTGCATAACGTGAGTGTGACTATTTTAAAAAAGCACTTTGAAGCGTATTGAGGTCTTATCTCATCTGACATTTGGAACTTACCAAGGTCAAGGCCGTAGTATGTAATAACCCTGCTTTTGTTTACATTTTGTCAACATACAATCAGTGTGTGTTCAATATGGAAAGTGTGTATGTCGGTCTGCTCTTGATGACTTCCAAACATGCTTTTGCTACAATTATTGACAAGTATACCTTGTGCCTTCCTTCCTTCCATTTCAACATCCAGACTACTGAGTCAGAAATCTCATTATGTACCATGTTGAGTCAGAGACTGTGTGAATGCACAAGGTTTGTTTGTTTGAATAAAGTTGCAAAATATTGAGGGACACATTGTTTGTGGCAGCATTGCCACAGATGCGCCAGTAGATGGCAGGATACCCAACGTTTATCACCATCAGAGATGCTACACTGTGAATTTGTGTGAAGAACTATCTTACAGAACTTAACACACTTCTCTCTGTTCAGTAACATCATTGTAGTTTATTGACTTTCAATTAAAATGTTTACAAATGTATTTTTCGATTCATTTAAATAAAAACTTACAAAACATAGCTTGAAACCTGGGGTTTGTATGAAATGTGATTGTTCAAGTAGAACATCAAAAAACACATATTTATAACACGTCATAACCAAAGAGTGCTTCCCTTCCTGCAGTCCGACTGTCTACAAGATAACGTTTGATAGTGTGTCAACTATACGGTGCATAATATAACAATCCTCATAAATATAAAAACAGACTTAAATAGGTAGAATATTGACTTGGTGCCATCAGCTGCACTTGAGCTAGAGACAACTTCCCTGTAGTGTTGTCGTGTGTGTCCATGCCCTTTGCTGAACGATACAGTCACTGTGGTTTACTGTGATGTTGCAGTGAGGTAGATATTGGTTTTTCATCCTTGTACAAAGAAAAATATTAATATAGCACAAAAACCCAACAGATTAAATAAGTTATGTTGCATCACTTTCACAATACTTCACTTAATACTCTGATAAAACTAACACTACCACTACTCATTGTACTACTAATATAATATTAATAAGTGCTTGATCTTTGTATCTTTGTGTACCCTGTCTGCACCTCTGCGTGACCTGCGTGTCTTTTTATGAAGCAGTAACATTGGATTTCTCAGACACTGGCAGACCAGATCCGGTGGCGTTGACCTTACTGAGCGCGCTCGTGTTCTCTAGTTCGGCCGCTCTGGTTGGCTGCTGCAAGGGTCCTTGGATGGTGATGGGCCAGGGCATGGTGGGTGGAGGGGCGGTGGTGTGCGGCGGAGCGTCCGATTGGCTGAGAGAGCAGGTGTTGCTGAAACTGCCGCACAACGCACCCCATTGTTGCTCGCACTGCCCTCGCAGTCGCCGGCCGACCCACAACCTGACCTCGTCTCCACACTTCAACAGGAAGTTCATCAGCTCCACATACGGTCTGGTGGGACATGCACACATGAGTACATTCACCACTGTTTTGTTCATTAGAGCAAGTGAAATAGCCTTTTTCACAGCAGATATTTTGACTCATTATAGTAGGAAAAGCACAGGTGCTAGTAATTATAGTAATGAACAATGGCTCTGTTCTACTCAAATGGTCCAGTAAGTCATGACATTGTGACAGTGAGCCAGCAAGAACAACACCAGGACCCTTAAACTGAAGCAGCTTAATGGAATTCAGCCCTTCATTCAGGTTCACTCAGGTTCATGTTTTTATTTAGATTTTTCTTAGGGTTTTAATACAAAAACTTGCTGATACTTTATTAATGTGTTTCTCTCTCACCCCGGGGGAAACATCAGGTGGAACTGGACCAGGTTACCCATGGTGTCCATGTGGTCCTGTACCGCCAGGCAGAGTTGGTGTTTGGAATAGCACTCTCTCTGGAGCGAGAACACCATCTCTTTTACCGCTGAGCACCGGCGGCTCACACAGCTGAAGCGCTGCCGCAGTCCCAGCGCCATGCACCGCAAAGCATCCTTCACAAATGACTTGCCCTGGGAGGAGGAGGAGGAGGAGGAAGAGGAGGAGGAGAGCAATAGAAGGAATCAGTGGGACATTTCTTATAGCTTGCACTGATTTGGCCTGGGATGTGTGTCCATTCCCCTGTTTCTGCTCACTTCCTATGTAAAATTCCAACATAAATCTTATTTCACATACCTCTAACATTACTGTTTAACACTCCAATGTGAAATTGTAAGGAATGAATTAAACAGTGTGTCTGTCTGCTTACAACGTTCTGCTGTAATATAATGTTAATTCCAAGGCGTAGAAGTAAATCATGAAGTAACTGTGAAAAAAACCCCTTTACACAACTAGAACATCCACTGTGAAATATTTCCCTACTGTGCTGCAATTCCAGCTGCGCTACCCAACATAGTGCTTTCTTCTTGTGATGTTAAAAGTAAAGACAAACAGTTTGAAAATACTAAGTGTGCTTATGTTGGATTGCAGTCTTATTTAAAATGTTTCCATATCTCTACAGTCCAAGAACAGCACTGTTTCTTTATTTATATGTCTTCTACATAGATCATCAACTGGTGACTGAGGGCTGACTGTTTCATTGGGACATGGAGTTTACCTTTAACCTCAATTGTCTGGCACAATATCACATAACCATCAAGTGCATATTTATATCCATCAAGGGCTGATTTAAAGGACCAATGTGTAGGATTTAGTGGCATCTAGAGGTGAAGTTGCAGATCGCAACTAACTGAACAGTATTTAACAACCTGGGAATGAGAACAGGCTGTGGAGTGTGTAGGAAGAACTACAGTGTTTGGTTTGTTCGTTCTGGGCTACTGTAGAAACATGTCTACTCATGGTGGACTGGAAGGTGACCTACGGCGTCTGTAGATAAAACCAGACGCCATTATCAGGAATTAATGGACAACGTGGAGGTTAATTGCAGCGGTGGGTTGGTTAAATGTTTACTTAAAGCATCAGTAACATCGCTATGGTGACTCGTAGAATACAAATTTAAAAGACACCTCCCAACAAACTCATGGCCAGGACATTTGCCTTCCAATATCTTACTATATTGTTTGTTACTGGCTGATACTGTGCTATATCTCCAGTCAGCGGTCACTCACAGGTCTTTACTGAACATCATCCACTGTGCCTGATCCTGCTGGAGACACATTAGACTTGCATCACTCTCTCATGCACTTCTATTCTAGTAAAGTAGACAAGCTGTTCCCTCTCTCATTTCAGTTCCCTTCTCAGTTTGTTCTGTAACCCATGCTACCATGCATAACTATACACTGCTCCTTATACAACGAGCATTCCTCACAAATGACTGTAATGATTGAAGGGATTAAATGAAGTAAAAACATGTATCTTATCTAAGCCTGCCCCATAGTTGCTGTTGGACACGGTTTCACAGTGTCAGTTAGTGCGAAAGGGGCCTAATGGCAAAAAGGGGCGACTTTCAAAATCAGCTTTTTTGAGTGTCTGAAATTGGGTCAGACTCTCATGCTGCTCCCCACCTGAGAGTCGTAGCGCCCGGCGTTGTGCAGCAGAGTGAGACAGATGTGGTGCAGCCCTTGGATTTCACAGGAGTTGTTGTTGAAACACTGAAACGTCCCACAGCCGACATCCCCTGAACTCACCAGGCAACTCTGAATATCCGCTGAAAGACACAGAAGCAGAGATAATAAATTCCACCAAAGTGATACCACAGTGTCTCCCAAATTACAATGGCATCACCCGGTCAGGATGACCTTGAGGGCTTCCTGTTGTGTCATGTCCTCACATTACACTGCATCAGTTTTACAGACGGGAAAAGTTAATTGTGACCCCTCCTATCTTTCTATCTATCTATCTCCTGGTACCCCCATGTTCAAACAAAAAACACCCCAAAAAGTGCCTTCTTGGGTGACCTTGTGGTCGATGAAACATAGTAAAGTGCCCTCTACAGCGCTCTTCCAGCGGAGAGAACGTGATGCAGTGCCATATATGTGCTGCCCTAGAAGGTTTGGAAGTGTTTAACCATAAATGCATCAGGAATTTCTGTGCACTGATGCCCCACAACATGCCCTCTGACAGCCTGGGTCCGCCACTGCAGAGGAAACAGAAAGCTGAAACTGTCCAACATCAGAGATGGACAACAATTCTTTTCACTTTGAAATCTACATAATGATGAATGTAAGGAAGCAAGGAACGACTCCCCCGTTGTTCAAACGTGCTATAACTTATTGCAATTATGTTCTTCTTGCTGACATCGGCCTCTACTATCTGTTAATGCTGCTGTTGATGTTGTGCAGCCTGCAGGTCAGCTCCGGCTCGGAGGTGCCGTAATGCAGCGCCCTGCTGGTACGGAGGGAATGTGCTTGGACGGGATCGAGCCTCCGGAGCTGCGCATTGAATTACAGCCACCAACAGAGCAGGAGAGCAAGAGGAGAAAGGCGCACTGTACTGCCCGGACCGGTGCGGGACAGACCCGTCGCCCTAGATAAAGCTTATTAAAACAATATAAACTAAACTAGACCTATTTTACCAATGCAATAAAAGGACAACATATAGAAAACAGACATAATGCCATGCAGGAGACACACAAAATAAGCTGATTTCCTACTATTTATAACAAAACTGTCAGTGATACAATATTAAACATAACACATGTGCAGTACTGAACAGTCAGCCTAATAATTCAGGTGTTCCCCAGTGGGATCCAGGGGGAGCATCACAATACAGAGCACACATACCGTCCCGTTAAAGCTGTACAGAAAGGAAGCGCACAGGTCTGCTGAATCCAGCGACTGCACACAAACAATGCGCAAAAAGGGCATTTTAAACTCACAAAAAGAAAAGCTTCCTAAACATTTCAGTGTATTTTAGCACAACAATCTGGATGCAATGTGCAGTGCAGGACCGACAAAGCGTAGCAGTACATGCTGTTAAGAGCTCACCTGTGCTCTGCAAAGAGAGGCGTCTTTTGGCCTGGCTCACTTGTTTCTCCTGGACATCATGCGGATCCACGATCCGCACCTGTTGACAGGCCAGGAGCACAAAAAACACACAAAACACAGCGGACAAGTTCGCCGGCATGCTTTAGACCAATCAAATCTCGAATTTAGCTGTTTCTTTTTTTTAATCTTTTTTTTTTTTATGTGTGTCTAATTTGTTTAATAGGGTCAGAGCAGCAGGAGCCCAGCAGAGGACTTTCCACTATACAGTACGGCCGCGACATGAAGGCTGAAATATATAAAGCCGCATGTGATCTGCGCGTTCACGACGGCCCTTGAGTTTGCGTCTCCACCAATCACAGCGCAGCCCCGCGTGAACGCGCACCGCACTGGAGCCAAAAGTTTATCATTGATGAGATTAAAAAATAAATTTAAAAAGTGGCACTAACAGTAGCGGAGTGTGTGTATTTATTGAGCCCGAACAGAGACATACTGAATGAGAGAGAATCAGCGGAGGAAGTAAATCCTAATTTCATAAAGTAAAGATGCTCTTACAGTGGTGTGAAAAAGTG